TCAAGTGATTCTCCTGCCTCAACCTTCTGAGTAGCTGGGACTACAGGCACCCGCCACCACGCCCAGATAATTTTTGTATTTTTAGTAGAAACGAGGTTTCATCATGTTGGCCAGGGTGGTCTCGAACTGCTGACCTCAGGTGATCCACCCGCCTCGGCCTCCCAAAGTGCTGAGATCACAGGCGTGAACCAACGCGCCCAGCCTGGAAGCTCACTCTTTTAAGTGCATTTTAGAATGAGCTTCAAGTACCCACATCCCTAACCCCTGTTTTGCATTGTGTGTATGTGTGGAGAGAGACAGAGAGACAGACAGGGAGACTGAGAGCCAGAGAGAAATCAAGGAGACTTCACCAGAAAGACTCTGGCAGAAATGTGTGTGGAGATGTTTGTGTGACTTTATTTAATCAGGCACTACTGCCACCCTGTCATTCATCCCACAAGTGCTTACGAAGTGTCTACTTTGTATCAGGCACTGTGCTAGGTGTTGCGGATAGAGAATGGAGAAAGACACAGTCCCTGCCATGGGACATGCCCACTGGTGATAACAGTCCTCTATGAAAGCTGCTGATGGCAGCATGCCCAGAGTACCTTGAGAGAGAGCCTAACCAAGGCTCAGGAGAACCTTCAGAAACCAAGTGATGGCAAAGTTTGTTTTTTTGTTTGTTTGTTTGTTTGTTTGTTTGGGGGTTTTTTTGGGGGGGGTTTCGAGATGGAATCGTGCTCTGTTGCCCAGGCTGGAGTGCAGTGGCACGATCTCGGCTCACTGCAAGCTCCGCCTCCCTAGTTCATGCCATTCTCCTGCCTCAGCCTCTCGAGTTGCTGGGACTACAGGCACCCGCCACCACGCCCGGCTAATTTTTCAGATTTTTTTTGGTAGAGACGGGGTTTCACTGTGTTAGCCAAGATGGTCTTGTTCTCCTGACATTGTGATCCCCCTGCTTCAGCCTCCCAAAGTGCTGGAATTACAGGCCTGAGCCACTGCGCCTGGCCAGCAAAGTTTGTTTTGAAGCACAGAAGAAGTCAGTGAGATGAAGCAGCAGGAAGAAGGTCTTCTAGAAAGAGCGAACAGCATGCACAAAAAAACTAAGGTCAGTTTTTAGTCCAAACCACAATTTCTAGATTAGAGGAGTTCAACCCTAAGTTAACTGCCTCGGCTGGGTCCTCCTCATGATACAGTTCTCAGGAAGGGGAAGGCATCCCTGGAAGAGGATAACAAGTTTAACTGGGCTGGAGCAAGTGCCGCAGCTCCACTTGACTGACGGTAACTCCCTCTTCATCTATCCTGGGGCAGACTCAGCTTCTCTACTTTTCTACCCTGCTTTCTTACACAGAGGAAATGCTCATCAAAAACTGTTCATCATAATGATCCCTTTCATATTATTTGTACGACCCTCATTGAGCCTGTGACATACTGTTGTATTTCTACTTGATGGATGAGTTAGCAGAGGTTCCAAGGACTTAAGAAACATACCCAGAATTGCACAAAGCTAGGAAATGACTCTTGATGCCTAATACCAGGCATCAGATTAAGCGCTTTGTCCATGATACTACAGGATGCTGATGATAATGGCTGATGATGGCCATAATGAGGAGGAGGAAAAGGAAGAGATCAGAGAAGAAAACAGCATTTCTTTTTTTTTTTTTTTTTTT